GGGATCTTGCTTCTTAGGACCCTTCAAAGATTTTTATGATATGGGATGTTAGTGCTATTGGCCCTGTAGTTCTTTGCTGTTGCTTTACTGCCCCCTTTGTGGAGGGGGGCTATGTCTGTTGTTTTTAGTAACTGTGGGACGACCCCCGTGTCCATTGCTCCCTCTCCATAGGATGGAAAAGGCTCGTGATAGGGGCTTCTTGCATTTTCTTGATGAAAAACAGAGTTCCATGAGTCGGGCCCCTGGGCAGAGTGCATGGGCATGTCATTTATCCCCTGTTCAGTCATTTGGCGTCAGGATAACATCGGATAGGCTTGTGTTAATCAAATTTTGTGGCTCTCTCATAAAAAATTCATTTTGATCTTCGACTCTCAGTCTGGTTAGCGGCTTGCTAAAAACTGAGTCATATTGGGACTTGAGTAGCTCACTCATTTCCTTGTTGTCATCTGTGTAGGACCCATCTTGTTTAAGTAGGGGCCCAATACTGGACGTTGTTCTCGATTTTGATTTGGCATAGGAGAAGAAATACTTTGGGTTTCTTTCGATTTCATTTATGGCTTTTAGTTCTTCCCGCGATTCCTGACTCCTAAAGTGTCTGTCTAGTGCTTTCTTGAAGACAGCCAGGGGTCTATTGGCAATCCCCCTTATGTATGCTGGGAGGCAGTTGAACAGTCTTGGGCCCCTGACACTTACTGTGTTGTCTCAGTGTACTCGTGACCCTGCTCTTCACTGGGAGAATGTTGCAGAGTAATTGCTGGAATGATGAGGTAGAGAGAGTAGTCAGAGAGAAATAGTATATGAGAGGTTTTTACAGAGCAGAAGTGATACAAGGAGGGAGGAGTATATGGAGAGAAAAATAGAGGTTAAGATAATGGTGAAGGAATGTAAAAGGAGAGCAAATGATAGAGTGAGGCTAAGGCATTACGAAAATAGGTATCTAAATGGAGTAAGGGGAAGACAGTGGAGAGGCCTTTACGAAAGCCTAATTGACGAGTGGAAAGACTACTGTCTCTCTAAATACCACACTAAATGTCTATTTACTAGATGTTCCATCAACTTGCAAACTACACTAGTAAAAGCAATGGGCAAATAGTGAGACACATCATGGCCAGAAGTACCTGGTTTAGGGAAAGGCAGAACGACGGCAGTTTTCCATGGATGGGCAACTGCCCTTGCACAATTAAAATGAAGGAGCTGATCTGTGGTTCTCTTGTACTGATATCAGCCCAATGCAGCACGTTTCAAACGTACTATATGAGCACAGGTAGACCACCAAGGCATGCAGTTATGTGAAGCTGCACTTAAAACTGAGGCTAAAAAGAGTTGTAATTGCTCATTAAGGGTGGATGAAGGAAACGGTTTCTCACTTAAAATGGTTTGACGCAAGTAAAGGGTCCAATTTGCCCGTTCAAACCACCAACGTGGACTACGAAGAGGGTGAGAATATGAATGGGAAATAAGGAGTACAGGAAAATGATAGCTGTCATGTAAATCAGTGTCCATCATTGGTTTTGTCTCTTCGATATATTATAAGATAGCCTCGAGCATTTCAGATGACAAGGAAGCTACAGGCAATGCGATATCAGAGGTAGATGGTGGAGGGTGAGTAAAGAATGGAGGAGAATGAAAGTTACCACAGAAGGGGCTTGTGAGAGGTTAGAGGAAACTTGGGAGGGAACAGGAAAGGCTAGAAGGAACAGGAGAGGAAGGATAAACTTCCACACCAATAACAAATAAAATAAGAGGTAAAGGACTAGGCTCAGAGACAGAAAAAGGAAAATGTTTGAGAATATGCGATTGAGGGGTTAAAGGAGATTTGAACTTTGGAAATAATTTAGACTTTGGAGAAGTAGGGATACGAGGTGATGGTATAGTTGTGGGAGGTTGTGTATATATTGAAACATGCAAACGTGAGGATGAAGATGCAAGGACGACAAGGTAGGTACCTCGGAGCCCAGGGCTGCAAAAATTAGACACAGAGGTAACTGCAGAAGTTGTGACTACAGAGACTGTGGAAGGAGATATCACTGAGGTTGGAGGCCATCAAGTAACTCTAGAATAAGAGAGCTTTGGAAGTCTTCCTTGGAGGTGATGGGGCACTGCAGTGGCATAAAAGAAACCTTTCTCTTTGAGACAGAGGACTTCTTGTTCCTTTAAGAAAACCTGGCAACGGTGAGAATAAGCCAGGCGAGCCTCATTACAATTAAGGCAAGGAGGAGGTTGACTGCAGGATGTATTGCCATGGTCAGCAGCACCACAGACCAGGCATTTTGCCATAAACCTGCAAAAAGTGTCAGCAATTTCTACACTTGCGGTGTAGGGACCAATTCCCATACGTGTATATACTTGTAAATGGTGTCCTGCAATATAAACAAAGGATTGAAGTTCATGGCATTGAAAAATTAACCAAGCTACATTGCAGGGAAAGTGTCTCTGCCCTTGAGCAGGATAGTACATAGTTTTCTTATTTTAAGAATTGGGTCTTGGAGCTCAAGCTGCTCCATAATGTCTGCATCGTAAGCAGGAAATCACATGGAACAATGGTATCTGGAAGAACTACAGTTCCACCTCAAGAATTGAGATAAAATGTGTTTATGAATTGCAACAAGAATATTGTCAATGGAGGTAAGAATGGAAAGATTGTGAGCCTGTCCAGCATTTTGTACCATAATGCGTGCACCACTCTTAAGAACATGAAATGAAATATTTTGACCAACAAAGCATAGGAGTGCCTTGCTGATACTATGATCTGCAAGATAGTCAGTGGGAGATGTCAGTTGTAGAGTGAAAAACTTAGTCCATTGTGTACCTTGAAATGTAGAGTGTAAGGGAAGCAAGTGTCGTGCCAGACATTTCTGAGAGGAGCGAGAGATAACTGGGACAGTGTCATCCATTAATGGTCATGGTCATTTAAGTGGGGGAATGGAGATGGTCCGTCCTGAGATGAATAGGCAATCTAAAAATTGTAGAGGGAGAGGCTGGAAGATGGTCAAAGACACATGGAGGTCGGATGTATCAAAAGGGGTCAGGGGCAACCTCGGTACCAGAGGTGGGCAACAAAAATGTTACCTGAAGAAGATACTGGGTTGTTAGAGAGGTCTGAAGAATGGTCTAAAGATGAGACAGGGTTATGAGGTGCTGCTGCAAGAGAAAGTGGTCTGGGAGGAAGAATTTCATGGACCTGGGAATCCATGGTAAGGTTTCTTTTTCTTGTCTTTTCTGGGAAAAAAAAAAAAAAAAGGTACATGGAGGGATAGCTCCTAAGAGGAATGAAAGGGATTGCATATCTCACTCTGCACCCAAGAGGGCCCTCAGTGCAGCTGATAGTGCAGGTGCAGCATGGAACCCGTGCCCTACCCTTTATGCCAATAAACCGGCAATCCAGGATAGCAACCTCACATCCACCGAGCCACCTCAGCAGACAAAAGAGAGGGCAGACAGAAGCCCACTGTAAGGCATACCTCCATTGGCCACCACCTCCTGGAACCAACAGCCTCCCTCCAGAGATACACCCGTCACCCGAAGAACACCATAAGCCACCCTTCAGGACTCTTGAGGGTTGGTCGAAGCACCTCCAGATAATCTATATTCCACAGCAAACACAACCACCACCAAGCGCCTCGACGGAATGGGACAGACAACGACACCCCATCCCCAACTTTGGAGCTACAATTTCAGAGGGGAGGAGCCCCAAAGGTCAAAAACAGGAAAGGAGAGGAGGGATGGAGAAAGGAGGAGGGATGAGAAAGGAAGGATGGGAAAGATAGGGCAGGGAAGGGAAGAGTGGGGATTAGTTAGGTTCAGTTGGAGGAAGACCAAAAGGTCCAATTTCTCAGTAGTGTGTCATCACTAGGGATCTGCAGGAATAAGGTAATGTCCTGTTCTTATAAGGTAGAAAAAACAGGATGCCACTCTGAGAACATACAATAATAATTCAATTTAATTAAACTGTAAACCCATATGTGTCGTACAGCATTGTGGGTAGGGATGTAAGAAGGTTAGGAGAAGGGATGCAAGATGGTAGGAATTAGTGGAGGTGCTGGTTAGTGCAAGAGTAAAATTTAAATCATACAAAAAATAAACGACATGTCCACCCTGAATCACAAATCACCTCTGCTGTGACAGGAGCACTGTTGTTCCTGGAAACCACCTATTGCCTACCTGGTGCATAACCCCAGAAAACAATCAGAATTGACCAAAGATTAGTAAAACCACCTGTTGAGACAAGAGCATAAACTGTGCAGTGGTCTTTCAGTAATACTTCACTCATCAAGGTCCTGCCACATTGCCTGCTAAGATGATCCAGTTTCCACCGGGTGGAGTGACCCGACCACCACAGCAGTACCAGTGAGAGATATAAGAGGGCTGATAGTGATCCCTTTTCTTTCTGCCTAGGAGCTGGATTTCACATACGAAACCTAGTCCCATTAATGAAACCAAAGGAGAGAGAGAAGTGGGGCATTTAGATTCAATCTCAGGAAGGAGGGAAGATTCCATTTCTTGGTTCTTGGATCAAGAGCATGGCTTCACTAACCCCTTTGAAAGGTAATAGAGCATAAAAATGCTGATTTATATTGAGTTTCATTTCCATTTTCCCACCTAATACAAAGCCCAAAGAAGTAATGAATCACATACACAACTATTAAAGAATAATAATATAATCAAATTAAACACTTAAACCCAAAAGGGTCAGCTGTTAAGAGAAACTGAAGGATGTTCTGTTTAAAGCCTCCCTGGCCAATGTCAATAATGAATGGTAGTTTGACTAAGGCAGATCAACACCACACCTGATTTTATGGGTCTCCATGTACAGCAATGGCCCCACTGACCAGTGCAACCTATGGTATGACCAACTAGGTCATTTTCCAAGCATGAAAAGATGACTGCTGTCAAGGAAATCTTCTGGAAAGATTCCAAGATACTACAAGAAGCCACATTTAAGGGAGCAGACTTCTTATAGATAAAAATAGCATCAATGGATATGACAATGAAAATGATCATTTATGTTAATATTTATTACTTGGCAATGGTAACACTTAAAAGAAGTATTTAGGTTAAAGCTTTAGTTAAAATAACCAAATAAACAAATCATATATAAAACAGCTTGTAACTCTGCATAATTTACAATGATATACAACTATAATCAATGACAACAGTAATGTCACAGATAAGATATACATAACTTCAAACTGAGTCTGGTTTTCCTACTATGAAGCTTCAGTTTTTACTGACTGGACACAGTACAAGTTACTCTACACTCTGGAGCAGCAGGCCATCATTAAACAAAAATCATTAGGCAAATCTTAGCAATAAAGCCATTTCTTCACTGTTGTACAATATTAGGGAATGAGATTCTGGAAATATAAAAAAGGAAAATTTTGAAATAATTTTGTAAGTTAAATAGCTAGTTTAGTCTTAAAGATTAGAAAGAACAGTGCAAGACAGCAATATTCTAAATGTTCACTTACACTCTGAACAGTATTGTTGTAAGTACAGTACATTATACAAAAGAGTGGCAACTTTGCACCAAGTGTAAATATACATTAAAATTATCAAGTATAAAAACATATAGAAATTATGTGACTAAACTTAAAAACTATCACATCTGTACTATTTTTAGTTTCTCATAAACAGCAAGATGCCCATAATTAGTCATGTTTTCCATATGAAGTACCAAATTTAATACTCATCTGTATAAACACACACCATAGATGCAACGCTAAAATGTTTTCACAGATAAAAATTATTTTAGATACGTGTATAGAGTTCAAAGGCATTTTTGAGATTATTTTATTTCTAAAAAAAAAAAAAAAAAAAATATATATATATATATATATATATATTTTGTAATAAAAAATTCAATTTTAACAAAATAACCTAAAGAAATAATTTTTAAAGACCTAATTACAAAAAACCACTACAGTACATTATCAAATAACTTTGTGCATCATATTGTGCCCATCACTGAAACCTGTCAGCCCTGAATGACCCAAATGGATTCAGTGCAAAATAGTGATTATTTAAACTTGTGTGAAACACTGCTTAACATACACAGATGATGCAATGCAAATATTACATACTTAATAAATTAGTTAAAACATTGTAACAAAATAAATAGTAAGCACATATAAATATAAGTGTAAAGCTCTTTTGCAATACTCCCACAGTCGGGGAAAATCAATTCCATTCTTTTCAATTACAAAGCTATAACATACAACAAAGTAAAACATGTCTTGTGGAGCACTAAGAGCCAAAGCTTGCCATCATCTACTTAAAATCTTCAGTGTTGCTGTCTATCATGATACATCCCAAACATAATATATGAGGTCAAACTTGTACAAGTATTTAAACAAATTCAGTTTGTGTACATCCCTGGAATAATGACAATGTCAACATTTGGTTCTACAATTCTGGAAGCATCAAGCATCAGTTCAAAGCTCTTCCATACCAGAGAAATTGTCATGTAGAGCTTGAATATTAGGAGTGAGTGTGTGTGTATCAACACTTAAAAGTTCACTAGATTTTCAATCATGTACCTTATACATAAAAGTCATTGTAACTGTAGACTTAAGTATACTACAAAACATGTCTGAGTTTACCAACATACACATTAACCTATACCATTTTATACAGTAATGCCATATTCCTAGTAGGACTCAAAATAATAAATATGAATTTAACAGTGTGGAGTAGATGCTAAAGACTAACAGTAAATGATAAAATACACAGAAGGTACATCACATGTATAGCTGCAAGAACAAAAAATATTTCACAATACTGTATACACTGGTGGAGGACACTGAAATGAGAATGCTTGAAAAATTACCAAGATGAACCATGAGAAGTGTCTACATTCACATCTTCTCTTCATGACAGTTTTTGGAGGTTCTATAATCCTCCAACAACACATTATATATAATATAAAAAATGTGTAACAGCTGATTAAAAAGTTTTTCCTTTCTGCAGAATAAGTAAAAAACTAAATTATGGAAAAATTATTACAGTAATAAATTAGCTGCTGAATGTAGCACTATTACCACTATGAATATGGTCATTATACCTTAATATAAGCAATGCATTATTCAGCATGAAACTGGACAACAGTCTTACCAAGCTGGAAGATGTGTTATTATCCCACACCACACACGGAATCTTTGTGTGCTCAAAAGCAAAGCAACCTTAAAAACTGTTACTGTTCTTTTTTATAAATCCGGGTCAAAAGTAAATTCCCATTTAAATTTTCACATAGAATAAAGTAATGTATACAAAGACTTAACATGAAAATATCAAAGGGACATGATATTCAAACTTACTAAAGCAAATGTACAGTACCAAGAGATATATTGTACATCACCCACTTAAATTCCCTCTATGACCAATCTGCACATTCCCTGTGCAACTCTCTCCCTAAAACAAATTTGTAAAATGAATTTACAGCAACAACTAAAATAAGTAATGTGCACACCCTAGTCCTACGTAAACTTGGAAATACGAGTTCAAATGAGTTTTCCTAATATATGAAAGTACAAGGCCTTCCTCTCCTGTATGAATCCAGGAGAGTTTTAATTAAACTTATATAATGTACCTAGCAGCCAGATGCTTGCTGTTAGTTTTAATAAATTCAAAAATAATATCCTCTAACAATGCTAAATGCTTAGTATATTAAAAACTTATTGTACAAGATATAATGTGCAGGTTATGCACCAGCCACATTAGCTATTAATATACTGCATTAATTTAAGAATTAAGTTGTCACAATAAGGCAGAAACTGGAAGTTTACCAATCCTTATAGACAAAAAGACTACACCATGCTAAAGAATTGCAAAAAGTGAAAATTTAAGGCAATTGATAGTGATAATTATCTGCTATCATTTATGAAACTAAGTTTTTTGCTTCTAAATGCTCTAAACAGCAACATGTTACAGATGGAAACCCTTTTTTCTTTTCTTTCTTCTGAGCTCCTAGAATCATGGGAAATATTTTGATAATTGCAGTCATACAAAATGTTGGAGAATAATGTTCGAGATGTGTACTCACAAATTTTTGAATATGGCAGTTTTGCTGGACATTAAGGTAATTTTTCCACTTACCACAGTGTGTAAGCACTATAATGTACTTGCAATACCACCCATCTATCTATCAGCCATATTCCATACCTAATTAACTGATGTGGAATTGATGTACCTGTCTTAAATTTATTCCATTCCCAATTAAGCGAGATAAAAATAGGTGTACCTAATGCATAATCTTATTCAGTTCCATATGAATGAGTATGAAATAAGTGTACAGTACCTAACTATTAACCTTATTCTAGTCCCAATCAACTGAGATGGAATAGGTATAACAAGTCACTAAATCCACAGGTTTACGATATATTTACATTTCCTGTAATTCCTCTCAATCCTATACCTCTATCAATTCAATGATGGTACTAGATTTCTAACAAATCAAATACCACAGTATTTAGGCACAGTAATCATTACACAACTTAACTAACCCCCACAAAGTACAAGTTTCTTTGGTAGCATCCTTGAGTCATTAACTTCTTAAGAGAGATTATCAGATACAATGGAAATTCTAGATCTCTCAAAATGCCATTGTAATGCATAGTGAAATAAAAAATATTGCAATATGTAAAGCTTAAGTCTGACACAAGACCTTCTAAAATTGTAATACTGGATATATCCTGAACACTTGCAGTGAAGACTTACAGGCTTAAAAAGCTTAGCTACATTTCAGCTTCATATTTTCTATCTATTTGTCTGTTTATCACACTCCATTTCCAGCTGAATTAGATTGAGGTTACTTAGCTGCTAAGTTCATATTTTCTTTAAAATTACAATTTATAAGCATATTCAAAACATTAATCAAAACAAATTTATTCATGAGAATTTAAGGAAAAAATTATCTGAAAATATATAGTAGAGTATATAGTTTTTCTTGTTTAAGATCATATTGGAAATATTTTATAACATCAAACTTTTCACTCAATTTCAATGCACAATCTGAAATCACAACCTTGAGTGCACTTCTCCATGAAATTTACTATGAAAGAGTAACATCACAAAATATAGTTAAACTTTACAAATAATTCCTGTAAATATAGCTATGTAAAATTTTATCAGTTCCACTGTAAATTTAATATAAATTATGTAAATTATAAAAATACTCCACCTAAAGTAAAAAATATCTTGCCTAATAAAAAACATCTACAGTATTTGTGTGCACATAAAAAGTAGGCAGGAATGCAAGTTGTAGCCACCACTTGAAGATTAGCTGCAGTGTTTAGCAGGTGAATGGGAATGCTGGTGTTTAGACTGCTGGCCACCTGGGTTTACAGACATTCCCGACAGCCCTAGCAGCATATAGGCTCTCTTGTTAGGTGGTGTAGACAAGAAGCGCTTAGTTCATGCATCATTACCATAAGGCATGGTGATGGAATTTCAAGTGTCCATGAACAGAATCATTTTCTTGTAAGACGCCAGTCATGGTGGATCGTGAGGGTGATGCCATACGCTCTGCTAATGTTGCTGAAGGATGTGACACACTATCCCGCCACTGACTTGTCTTGCCTGTTATCAATTCAAATAATAAACAATTACAATAAAGTACTGTAATAATAACTTAAAACAGTTTCATAATTCATCAAAGTACACCACCGATTTTCTGGCATGCTTGGTTTCAAAGCCTTGCCAGAATACTGATTTTGCCAGACCAAAAGAGGTCACGAAATAATAATTCAACAGTACACTTCTGACCCCCTTTACCCATTATATTCATACGTGTATGCTCACTTCATGCATGTATAGAACTCATTTGTTTGGTAGAAATTGGTCAAGACTCATAGATGTAATATTTACATTTTAGATGACCCTTTCCACTGTTTCTCATGTAGATCTAACTAACTGATGCCAGTGTCACTCATGTAGATCAATGTTTTAAGCATAGCACCCTCAAATATGATGCGAGTGGTAAATTTTGGCCATAAGAAAATGGATCTGTGTGGTGTGTGCACAGTATTTAAAAAAAAAACCTGCTCTATGCAGTGCATGATGGGAAAAGTAAGCCTCTAAGCTTGCGTTTGGTTTAACCCTTTCAGGGTTTCGGCCGTACTAGTACGGCTTACGCACCAGGGTTTTTGATGTACTAGTACGCCTAAATTCTAGCGCCCTCAAATTTAGTAAGAGAAAGCTGGTAGGCCTACATATGAAAGAATGGGTCTATGTGGTCAGTGTGCATGGTATAAAAAAAATCCTGCAGCACACAGTGCGTAATGAGAAAAAAAAATTTGACCGTGTTTTTGGATTAAAACAGCGACTTTGCACTGTATTTTCATATGGTATTTATTGTTGTATTCTAGTTTTCCTGGTCTCATTTTATAGAATGGAAGACATATTACAGAAATTGAGATGATTTTGACTGGTTTTACAAAGAAAACTACCTTGAAATTGCGCTCAAAATAGCAGAAATGTTCAATTTTTACCAAAGTTCAAAAGTAAACAAATCATGCTATGCATCCAATACATGTCAACTGGTGAGTCTAATATTCTTTCACAAGTGCGCTGATATTATTTATACCATTTCTACACTAATACAGTAGTCTGCATAACAGTAAATCTATTTTTTTGTGAGAATAAAAATTCAAAGTGGAAAGCAAAAGAATGTAAGAGGGGCATGGGGACGTGACTAATGAACAGAGGAAATGTTATTTTAGTGCCAGGAATGTCTTTTTGTGTATTCTGGACCCTATTCAGAAATTGGCATCTTTTGAAATTTGTGTGAAATTGGCAAAATTGCTAAATTCTGACCACTGTATTGGATAGTTAAAATCGGTAAATGGGTGGTTTTTTGTACTCATTCGATAGAAAAAACGGAGTTCTAGCGAAATAGTTATGATTTCTGTCGACAAGTACACTGGAATTGGCCGAAAATAGGGCTCAAAGTGGGCAAAATCGCCGATGCGTAAACATCGTCGAGACCGCTAACTTCGCGAGAGCATAATTCCGTAAGTTTTCCATTAAATTTCATACTTTTGGTGTCATTATGATCAGGAAAAAGATTCTCTATCTTTACATAAGAAAAAATTATTATTATTTTTTTTAAATTTGGCCAACCCTGAGAACAAGTCTCTGAGAGGGCCTGTCGACCCTGAAAGGGTTAAAATAGCAACCGAGGTGTTTTCTAAAATAGTTTATATAATTTTACTAGCCATTTTTTCATATCAATTGAAGAGATGATTTTGATCAGTTTCAGGACAATAAATAGTTAGAAATAAGACTCAAAATTGCAGACCATGACTTGCTCCACGTAAAATTGTCACACTATGGTATAAGAGGGCACTCCCTCAACTACCTCAAGTCATACCTCAGCAACAGAAGCCAATATGTGTACGCAAATGGGGCAAACTCTTCTGCGCAACCAATTACAGTTGGTGTCCCACAGGGAAGTGTCCTTGGCCCTCTTCTCTTTCTCCTATACATAAATGACCTTCCAAATGCTTCGCAATTACTCAAACCCACACTATTTGCAGATGACACTACATACGTCTTCTCTCACCCGAGCCCAGTCACACTAGCCAATACTGTAAATACCGAATTACAGAAAATATCTACCTGGATGAGGACTAACAAACTTACACTAAACATTGACAAAACCTACTTCATTCAGTTTGGTAACAGAGCTACAGATGTCCCTCTTAACATAATGATAAATGGATCACCTATCACAAAGCTAACAGAGGGAAAATTCTTAGGAATCCACCTTGATAATAGACTCAAATTTCATACACACATACAACAAATTTCTAAGAAAATTTCCAAGACTGTAGGCATACTATCGAAGATACGGTACTATGTTCCACAGTCAGCCCTCCTGGCCCTATATCACTCTCTTATTTACCCCTATCTCACCTATGGAATTTGTGCATGGGGCTCAACAACAATTAACCATCTCAGACCACTAATTACCCAACAAAAGGCTGCAGTTAGAATGATAACAAATTCTCACTACAGGCAGCACACTCCACCAATATTCAATACACTAAACCTACTCACCATACAAAACATCCATACTTATTACTGCACCTATTACATACATAGAACACTTAACTCTGATATTAACCCTCCCTCAAACATCTCCTTGCCAACCTCAACAGAACACATGACCATAACACAAGGCACAGATCACTCTTTGATGTTCCTCGTGTCCATCTCACACTATGCAAAAACTCAATGCACATAAAAGGCCCTAAAATCTGGAATTCATTACCTGTAAATATAAAAGAAACACTACCTGTTTATAAATTCAAGTCTCTTCTCAAAGATCACTTACTCACCCAAACCAAATAAATACTGAATAACTGAACCTTATAAATTGTATATCTTAAATGTTTCTCACAATTATATCACATAAATGTTAAACCTAAAACCGAATCTAACTTTATTATTTTTAAATACACTACCTAATAGAATCCTTCATATGACTGAATGCAACCATATGACCTGTCTTTGTAATACTCACTTGTGCTTTATAGTAATCTGTTTACATTAATGTTTTATCACTGATTTCATCATTGCTTAGTTAATCTTAAGTTAATTTTAAGCCAGCCCGTAATGCTATGCATAGTATATGTGGCTTTGGCATGCTGCTCTTATCTGTATTTTTTTGTACCTCTGTATGTGTGCTCAAATTGGTAATAAATAAATAAATAAAAAAAATAAATTTTCCTGAGGAAGAGTAGAGGCCCCACCCATGGTCTGTTTATGGGTTTTTAGTAGGTCTGCTCCTATTAATGGGACACGCTAAACCACATGTAGTTATACTATTATCTGAGAAATAGAGTAAAACTTCTATTTTTTTTTTTTGATGGATTCAAAATGGAAGGCAAGTGAAATATAGGAGAGGCCTGGGAACATAATTAATGCACTGAGGATAGGTTGCCTTAGTGACTGCAATGCACTCAGTGTTTATTTTCAAATCTGTTTTTAAACCTGAATTTGTTGAATTTTGTGTAAAATTGGCCAAATTACTGTTAGGTTTTTTGTACTCATTTAACAGAACAGAAGGCATACTGAAGAAACAGCTAAGAATTTGGTTGAATTGAGTAGTGGAAATGTCTTAAAATAGGACTCAAAGTGAGCAAAATCACCAATGCATAAATTGCACCCAGATCACCAACTTGGCACCTGCATAATTCTCTAAGTTTTCAATCAAATTTCATATTTTTTTGCATCATTACTTTCAGAAAATTATTCTCTAATGGGAGCAAAAACAATAACTTGTCAAACACATACTTCCCTTAAGCTTTACTCAGGTAAGCTTTACTTAAGCAAGTGTTTTTATTTAGTGCCCTCTCATAATTTTGTCTAGACTGAAAGGTGCCAGACCATCCAATGCTGGAAAATCAGTGTTGTACCTGTACCATCTGTAGAACTCCATTTGTTCTATCAACTAAGTATACAAGAAACTGCCCATTTACCGATTTCAACTACCCAATAAAGTGGTCAGAAATTAGCAATTTGGCCAATTTCACACAAATTTCAAAAGATGCTAATTTCAAAATAGGGTTCAGAATAAACAAGACAGACATTCCTGGCACTAAAATAACATTTTCTCTTTTCATTAGTCACATCTCCAGGCCCCTCTTATATTACTCTTGCTTTCCATTTTGAATTTTTATTCTCACAAAAAAATAGATTTACTGTTATGCAGACTATTGCATTATTGTAAAAATGGTATAAATAATATCAGCACACTTGTGAAAGAATATCAGACTCACCAGTTGATGTGAATTGGATGCGTGGCGTGATCTGTTTACTCCTGAAGATCAGCAAAAATCAAACATTTCCACTACTTTGAGCTCAATTTCAAGGTACTATCCATCATGAAACCAATCAAAATTGTCTCTATTTCTGTAATATATCTTCCATTCCATCAAATGAGACCAAGGAAATGAGAATACAACTATAAATACCATATGAAAATACACTGCAAAATTGTTTTCAACTAAAAACACGGTCAGTTTTTTTTTTTTTATCTCATTATGTACTGTGTGCTGCAGGATTTTTTTTATACTGCACACACTGACCACAAAGACCCATTCTTCCATATGTAGGCCTACCAGCTTTCTTCCACCAGATTTGAAGGTGCTAGAATTTTGGCGTATAAATACGACTGACACTGAAAGGGTTATGTAGTAAAAACTCAAACATCCAAAGCAAATATTCCATTTAGGCACTTTAAATAACCACAGCTGCAGTACCCTAATGAACCTTCCCTGTTTATAAGCCTAGATTAAGCCAGTATCTTTGCTACACATGTATACACTACTTAAAATATTAATTTTACAATTGTGTGCTGATACTGTATCTGTGATGATAAAACAGCCATTAGAAGTGTTGAAGGAATTTTAATACAGGAAACTATGCAAATGTTGGTATTCGTTTTAGTCTTCCATTGCCACAGTTTCTGTTACATCAAGTGATCAATTTGGATACAAGTATCATATATAGAAACATTTTTAATAAGTTTTAGTAACTGTCTGTATATACTGTACAGCTCAGTGCACGTTTTT